AAAGAGTGCTTTAGTTCAGAAAGTAAAATAATTCAGTCACCACTCAGAGCAATAAGTGGAAGCAAACAGAAATGGTAGTTCTCAATTTTTTAAATATTTTAGCTCTTTTCTTTTTTTTTTCAAATACATTTTGAAATGTTACATTACAAATAAAAATCTTTGATTTTACTTTTTTTTTCCCCTGTAGATTCTCCAACAAAGTATATGTGCTATCACAGGGCAAAAAACCCCAGGTCTTGGAAAAACACATTAAAGCACTAATCTCAAGAGCATTTTTGCAATGGCTGCTAAATGTAACAATATTTGCTGACTCCAGTGGTAGTTGCATTAGACTATAGATGATCTCTGCTCAGAATGCTCAATTGTTGATTTTATGGTTCTCTTTCTTTGTTTGTTACTCACAAACTGTTTTCAGTAGATGTGCAGTATATAACTGGGAATTCTATATGATATGTGTATAACTATATATGTGCATATAGTATTTCTAATTATCATGAGGCTTGTTTTTCTTTTGATCTACAAATGAGTGCTCTCAACTGATGCTAGTGTTACACAGCTTTGATCTAGTACAAAACCAATATTTGGCAGCAGGAGATTTAGCCAGCCATCCATTATGGAGGAAACGTAATATTATTAATAATACTTATATTCTACATCCTTTAGAAACATTGAATTACATTCTAATAATTCACCAGTTGTCATTACTAATAATGAGCACAAGTATTCATTCTTCTTCATCTTGAACAGATTTTGAACCTATAGTCTGATCCCAACTAATTTCTGTTGGACTCCAGGCGTTGTCCACATGCATTACACTAAAGGACAGGAGCTGTAATCAGCATCAGTGGCGGCCAGAGTGAGAAAATATTTGCAGTCTGTCTAAGTCATGTTAGCTCCTGCTTAGGAGTTGTTGTGAGTTAGGAAGTGACGGTATTCTCAACTTCGCTAAAGCATTTTAAGTATCTAGACGTATTACTCTTCAAAAAAAGAGGCCATGGGATGATTTTAGCAACGTTTTCCCACAAAGATCAGTTTATTAGATTGACTACTCTTCAGTCTTATTTCAAACCTTCCAGGTCTTCACACAGGAAAATAAAAAAGCCAATCAAAGTACTAAGTCACATAGAAGCAAAGCCCAGGAAAGTTCCCAAGCAAAATTTCACATTTCTACAAAATTTAACAATGAGAAAAAAAACTAATTTGATTTTGCTATCTGTTATTTTCTTCCCATAAAACATCAACAACATGCCTTCAGCCTGTTCTGTCTTGGAATACAGTGCATGGAGATCCCCATAAGCAGGTACACAGGCAGAAGGTCCCACAGGGTCCTCATGAAGAGCTCAGACTCCATACGCTGTAATGTAGTGTAAAGGACTCTGGTGATGTGTAATTGACTTGACACATCTTGAACTGCACATCTGATGCAATGGATGTGGGTGTCCCTTTGAACTAAGTTCTGGGCCCTATGAACCTTAGTCACTTGATGACATAATTTTCAGTCAAATAGAATAAATAGTAACAACAAGCAAAATTACTGTGTATTTAGGAAAAGTTCTGTCTCAAAATTGGCTCAAAGCAGGCATCCGAGAACAAATCAGCAAGCTTTTAATGGTGATTCCTTCAGCAATCAGTAATGATAACCAGTCAGATTACACACAGTTGAGTGCATACTAACTGTCCAGAGCCAAGCTCAATTAAGACTAGTTACATTTTGCAAAAGCTTTTCACTTTACGGTGTTTGATGCAAGTATTTAGAATGTGTACAACAATACAAATAACTGCTGACCCTGAGAGGTCTAATCTGATTGCCCTCAGTGAATTACTCAGTTTATGGCTGTGAGAACTGTCTACAGTGACAAATGGTTTCTGTAAACATTTTTTGTGTTTCTGGGAAAAGGTCCAACTCTGTTTTGTCCCTGTTGACATTTGCCCTCTACAAGTGGAGCTGGTTGAAATAATTTCGTGTGTACATGCATTGGTACACTGGACACAGTTCATTACAATACAAGGCTCTTCTAGCAGAAGTTTACTATTGCAGAATACTCCTAGCTCCCATATCTTTCAAATGTGTCATTTGATAGTACTCAGCATCAGTGAAATAAATGAACACAGGAAGAACAAATAGGTACAACTAAGCAAACTCATATTGCTGTCAGTTTTTAAAGAATTACTGTTTAAGTTCATTGAGGTGTTGGTTATTCAAATAGCAATGGGATGGGCTCCTTCAAATGCTTGACATAAATGAGTGGATAGCAAAAATAAATGCACTTCTGCAACCTCCCTCCCTCATACCTAGAACAAATGCATGCTGTTTAGCTATAAATGCTCCTTGAGTAACCTGTATCCAGCACAACCACTAATGTGCAATAAATCTACTAATACATGACTGATTACCCACCTCATCAACTTGAGGATCTTGAGCCTGAGCAGCATTGGGCACTGGGGAATCACAGTCTGGGCTGTAATGCTCACAATAGTCGTATGCAGCTCTAGGGTCAGCTATAATCAACAGCTGCTGGATATCGCCCTGCAGGAAAGCATATGCAGATTAAATAACAAAACCAAAGATTGTCTGCAGTTCAACAGAAGTACAGAGTTTTCATTCAGAAAACAAAACTAGACACTTAACACTTACATTAGATACTATATTAACATTTGTGGTTATAAATAACAAATCATTAATTTCTGCTGCTATTCTGGAAAGCTCCCTCACTATTGTTCACGCGGTAAAACAACGCAAATGAATACCAAATGGACTAGCTGCAAAATTCTGGCTTAAAATGCTGTCCGATTCGGTAAGTAGAGGGTGGGAAGGTGTGACTCCTGCTCTGTCACTTTCATGTGGTTTGTTGACTTCTTCACTGGGAACCAGTCTAAATTCCTAAGATTTAATTCAGAGCACTGCCTATTACCAGGGCGCAGCTCAGTATGCAAGTGATCAACAGAAAGCATAACTCAAGAGTTTGCATCACATCTGTACTCTCAAAGAGAAAATATAGAATGAAACAAAAAGACCTCTACCAGAAATAGTTATTGGAATGAAAAAGTAATAAAGTAAGCACTATGCAAATACACACTATAGAATGTGTTGAAATAAAAAATTTAACAGCTAGCAAATGTTATTTTCATCTCTATTTCCATATATCATGTGTAAAAACAACATCACAGTAAAGAGACCCACTATTCTGGATAATAAAAATGGCTCTGCTGAGATCCCCTACAGAGACCTTGTACGTTTATCATTTTCCACAGAAAGCTGTCTGGTATCCAGTGTATTTCTTAACATAGTGGTACCATTTAAACCACATTAGGTACATTCCTGCCAACATTTCCACTATAAATTTCCTCATTCAGGAGCTTCTTATGCTGTCATAAAAATAAGGTTGTTGAAATTTGGCACATGTTCTCGGTCAAAACCCATTAAGTTCAATCTCGCACTGTTTCCCCAGAAGCGAGATCATTTAAGCTTTTATATACTCCTAATGTAATTTTATTTTGGGGTTTTTTTTACCAAAAATGGGGGCAAATGAATAACTTTGTTAGTAAAGCTGTGCATGTTTTGTCTTTAAAGAAAAAATAGTGTAACTGACATAAGCATACAGCTGGGAAAATTCACAATTATCTCAGTATTTCCGAAATTCCTTTACATCTCTCAGGACAGTGGCCTTTAATAAATTAACAAAACCAGAATATATTTTATATTAGTACAGAATAATTCGTAATGCTCCTTCCTTTCAAAAAGAAAAATCACAGAAAGAAGCAAAAACCTTCAAACTGAAAAAAAAAATCAAACAACTTTCTGCAATTTTCCTAGTTCTACAATGTTTTTACTAACTTATTTAACACAAAATATGAAATACCACATACTGGCTATAAATTATAAATCTGATTTTTTCAACACTCTCAATTCATTTTACTTTATAGACTCCTGTGTGTCTCAGATTTATTTAGAGTTGGAATATATTTTTTAAGCTTCCAGAAATGCCAAAAATGCAGCAGTCTGTTCCCCTGCCAGTGGTTCTAGACTGTTTCTTTTATTATTCTTAGCTCACTAACACTTCCTGATTTGGACATCTTCCTACAAAACCTGCTATATATACAAAGAAATACCTCCTTTGATTCATTACATGACTCCCTCAAAAGTTTGAGTGGTTTGAGACATTTTGTGCAGTCATTTTCAGCCTGGGCTATGCATCCCCTATCTACAGCAAAGTGTTCCCAAAGTGCTCTGCCCTTCCTCTTTCATCAGCCAAGTTAAAACTAAGTGAAGCAGAGGAATAAGTTAGAGAGAATTAGCAACTGAAAGACAAAAGAGGTAACACTTTTGGAGCAACCATTAGAGATGGAGGCGTAGAACTCCTGTCCTCGCCCTGTTGAGCTCAGGTCATGTCTTGCTATATGTCCCTGAACATCTGGGACTTTGAGATGCCCACACAGATCACCACAGATACAGTGTGCCAGCTAATGTGAGTAATGCTGGAACTGCTCCTGAAACTACTGCTGTTTAGTAGGATACGCCAAGAGAACCTAGGTGGGGAATATAGCCAGTATTCTAGAGCTTGCTTTGTGCTGATCTTGAATGCCATGGAATTTTGGCAATAGGTTTTGTCAGACTGTGTTTGCTAGAAGCACACCGCATGCTGTTACCACTTGGCTTAGATGTCCCTAAATTGGTTAAAGCTGTTCCTGACTGTACTTCTCAGCCCTGCCTGTCTGCCTGCCTGCCATGGGTACAGAGTGAGGCCCTCAGAACTCTTGTACTGTATACAGAAATTGCTACTGGCTATTAATGTGTGAGAAGGTTACTGAGGAAGTGAATTATTTTACATTTGACATCTCAAATGTTAATTTTCCTCTTTTTTTCTTCAATATCTGCTATAAAAATATTCCAAATAAATTTTTCTTTTTCTATTTTTTAAAAATTTTCCTATCGTTGCTAATTAAATAGCTTCTTTGAGTATTTGTCTGTGATATATCAGCAGTGCTGTTTCAGTAGTCAGTGAAGAGCTTCCATTTCAGATCAGGTCAGTCATCTTAGCACATTAAATTCCCCATACATTATTGAGGATTTCATTACTGTGCTTTAGTTACCATTCTAAGGTATATGTTGGACAAATCTACACTCATTCTCTTTGATAATTTCTCACAGAACAACTTCAGTTTTCACAAACCCATTCTTTAATTTTAAGTGCTTGACTTTGTGAGACTGAAACAGAATTTTATAAAGCTCCCTGTGAATAAACTACAAACATTTAATATGGCCATACTTCCATGACCTGCAGTCATAAATTGGGCACTTAATGACCTACCTGCACAAGCCTCAAGAACTTTAAATGAAAATACATATAAAAGGAGTAATGGGATATTAGCAATTCTAATAGTTGATCTCTAGAACAACACTGAGGTATCCAAACATATAAACATATCTGCATAATATTATTCTTATATGAAAATGGCAGGAAAAAAGGAAGTCCCACAGAATAGAATGATAAAAGCAAGAGAGAGAGAACAAAGAGAAGGAGACAGGAGAACAGAGTAAAATTTACAAATACACCTGAGCATCCTTGAAGTACTCTGAAAAGTGCACAGAGAGGAAAAAAAAAGTAGTACAAAAAGCAGCTGTCTATATAGATTCATTCTATTTCCTTCCCTGTGAAATTGTTATGACTGCTTGTCCTGGTTTACTGGGCTAGAATCTTCAAATCAGTTTTCTATTCAGGAAAACTGCTTTTCCAAAAACACTTCAGTGCTGGTTTTCAGTGGTAATGAGCTGATAAGACAATCTGGGTAAGCTTCCAGCCAACACTGGAATGCAGGTTGTGGTAGCGATCAAGGACTATTTTCAGTTCTGGTGTTGCACCTGTCCTGTCAACTTTTTCTTTACAAGAACCCAGAGTAGATGATCAAGTTGGCCAACAGAAAGTGTCTACACCATAAACATCACACTCTCTCTAAAGGGGGAAGTTTTCTGGGGATGGCTCTCTTTCTTCGATGGCTGCCATCCTAAGAGAGACTCCTCCGTTATATTGGCTGAGTACAACTCTGTGTGCTTTATTTTAATACTGTTTAATACTGGCTTTTCTTATTATTATTTCATTAAATCTGTTTCTATTTCAACCCATGGGTCTCCTTTCCCAGGTAGGGAGGAGTCATCAGGTAACAGAACAACTGTCTAAAAAAAACCACCACCTTTGCTGGTAAGGACTACTTAGGCAATTCCACATAGCTGATAGATGATATACAGCATGTTATACAAGTCAAATGTTTGATGTCTCCGCTGAACCAATCTTCACCATGATTTGATGTTACAAGTGGGATGACAGTAGAAAGCAGAGGCAGAAAGCTTATGGTGAGGTATCAGACAGATATACACAGCAACTTTTTCATCTTCTTACTTGTGGCAATGTGCATGCTTAACTTGCCCACAAAACTGCTAACAGCCTATTTAGCCCTTAAAAAGAAAAATCTGCTGCCTTATAACAATTCTTTATCCTGGATAACACTTAGTACAATGTATTTTAATCAGTGTTTATTTGTTATTTAACATTACTTGCAGTTTAGGTATGAGAATTGAGAGCTAGGTCACTGCTTTAGCTGCCTGCAGGTGAAGAGGAGGCACATGCAGCAAGGTATTCAAGCATACCTAACATTAAGCATATAAGTACTGCTTGTAAGTAAAATGTATCAAATTGGAGTCTTAATATTTAGTTTGGATCACAAATAATTTATTGAAATAGACACTAAGTTGTTGCCAAAGCCAACAAATAACTCACAAAGTCAATGCATAGTTGGGTAATTAATTTCAATATGGAACACAAATAGTTCAAATCTATGAATGCTTTAATTCCTCTCTATTTTGGGAATGTGCTCATAAGTAAAATCAGAGGTTTCTGAATCACATCATGGTTACATGAAAAAAAGCTGCCTGAGAGTCATAAAGTACCTTGTCCACCAGTTATGCCTACCATGAAAACACGATACAGAAGGATTACTTCTGTAGCACTGTCCTAAAAGATACTATACCAAAGAAGCTACTCTTCACAGAATAAGGTTATTAAAATGAATTAGACCTGAGGAAACATTCACTTCTTGTGGCATGCCACAGCAAATGTGGAGAAACAGGCTACAGAGCTAGAAGAAGAATATGCTCAAATCAGTTGAATGCTTGCCTATTGGAAGAGCTGCACAGACATTCACTCATATTAACTCTTCTACACTTTCAGGTAATGACGTGGGATGGAATAG